CAGGGTTGTTTCTTTTTCACAGCTGAACAGTAGAGGCATTCAAATATTTGTTCTATTAGTGAGTAAACATATGGAGATGTGACCTCTTAATTGCTTCCTTGATCTTGGGTAGCAGGAAGACTTTTTTTTTTTTTTTGGTTTATACTTGATTTTTGAAATGTTTGTGAGGCTGTGAGGCGCCTTTTTCTATGTTAATCAAATTGAGGTCTAGAAGACTTACTGATAGTTCTTTAGTGATCGTTAGCATTTCTGGATCCTGTTTTTTTTTTTACCTGTTTGTCTTTCATTGTAAGTAATTATTTCAAATGCCTACTTTGGTTACTTTCAGTTTGTTAGAATGCTGTACTTGAGCTATGTCAAAAGGCTGTTTTGCTGATAAGAGAAACATTTATTCCATACAACTATATTCAGATGTTTGGCTTTTGTAATGTTTTACTTTTTATTTAGATTTGTTAGGGTCATAGTAAAGGCTCTAAGATAGAAGTGTATTAGAGGAACAGCAAGAAGATTGGTATAGCTAGGGTGAAGTAGAGATGATGTGGGAAGGAGATTGGATTAGAGGGGTGTCAGACTGGGGTAAGGTCTTTGGCTTTTCCTCTGAGTGAAATGGAGAGTCATGGAAGGGTTTCACTAGAGGGATGACCTGTTCTGACGACTTCTTTATTTTTCTTTCTCCTAATAAAAATCACTTTGGCTGCTGAAAACATTGAAGGAGGTCAAGAGTAGAATTAGAGAAATCCGTTAGTAGGCCACTTCTGCAATATGTGGCAATTAGGAGGTAGTTTTAAAGTAGAGTGTAACAATGAAGGTAGTAAGAAGTGGTTGCAGTCTTTATGAGGCTGTAGTCACAGATACTTTCCAAGTGGAAATAGATAATTATGTGGTTTTCTAGCTGTAGCCCATATTCTTAATATCAACCATTTTGAAGATGAACATTCTTGAATATTGGAGTCTGTGTTAATGAGTTGAAAAAGATGTATGATTACTAAAGCACATCATACTTGTCCTTGGCCCTCAGTCGTGAACTAATAAGCATTTGCTCATTACTGTGAATCAGGTCTTGTGAAAGTTGTTGATGAGTCAAAACTCAAAAGAGTTTAATGGAACCACATTTGTATTTCCGAGTTACAGGTATTAATAACAAAAACGTGCAAAAATTGCTGTTAAGGACAGAGAAAAAGCTGCCACCACCATCAACATATTTGAAATTTATTGGGCTATTAYAGTGTGCTAAGTGTTTTACATATATAGTCTAGTATGTAAAATTATAGATCCTACCTACCAACAATTATGGAGAATTAATAGGTAGGATTTAAAATGATGAGAGCCTGGTAGAGAAGACAGTGGCAATGCTTAGAAAAGTAGACACACAAGAAACATTTTTAGGGAGAAAAAGAGACAATTTTCCTTGGAAATTAAAAGAAATGTGTAAGTAATTTTGTTATAAATAAAACTTAATAATTGAACCATTGAATTTAAAGCTAATGATTATCCTAAATTGCCTTGCATTAGAAAAACCATCATTTTCACAAAATGTTATTTCTTGTTCTGTTGTATATTTGGTTATGGCATGATATATTGATGATGAACATACTAATTATTTGGACATCAGCATACTTCATCTGTTTGTCTCCACCTATGTTTTAGAGCACACAAAGCATAGTTTACATTTTTACTTAAAATAAATATTTGAACTTTTTTTCATTTGATTTATTTTGCTTAGCATTGCTTGTCACCTTGAGTTTCTTCTGACTTCTTTAAAGATACCAGAAGCAATTGCAATATAGGGGATGCTGAAGTTTTTCAACTACTATTGTATAGATTTTTTTTTTTTTTTTTTTTTTTTTTGGTACCAGGGATTGATCCCATGGGTACTTAACCACTGAGCCACATCTCCAGCCCTTTTTATATTTTATTTTGAGATAGGGTCTCACCGAGTTGCTTAGGG